CAAATTGTGAAACTCGTGTATTAAATAACTTCAGTGCACACAGACTGAAGTAGTTTAAGTCTTTGGTTCTTTTAATTGTGATGATTTTGGCTCACATTTAACAAAAACCCACAGCTGTGTGCAATCAGTGCAATGGATGATGGGAACTGTAGTCCGGGTGAAGTGCAGAAGTGGTGTGGTGCAAGAGTCCATAGTAGTGAAAAGGTGACCTCTGGTGGCAAGCAGACAGAAGTTCATGGACCGGATTCGTGACACTGAACAGCCAGCTTCTTTGGCAATGAATGTTTGTGGCTTACCCTCCTTGTGAAGGGTGTCAATGATTGTCTTCTGGACAACTGTCAGATCAGCAGTCTTCCCCATGATTGTGTAGCCTAGTGAACCAAACCGAGAGACCATTTTGAAGGCTCAGGAAACCTTTGCAGGTGTTTTGAGTTGATTAGCTGATTGGCACGTCACCATATTCTAATTTGGTGGGTTTTTGTTAAATGTGAGCCAAAATCATCACAATTAAAAGAACCAAAGACTTAAACTACTTCAGTCTGTGTGCATTGAATTTATTTAATACACGAGTTTCACAATTTGAGTTGAATTACTGAAACAAATGAAGTTTTCCACTACATTCTAATTTATTGATATGCACCTGTAAATCCTAAAATGACTTTAGTTGTTCCTTTGCATTAGTCGCTCTGAACGCACTGTACTCAGACAGCAGTTGTTCACATAAAGCCCCCCTAACACAGAACTGGGAGTTTAATGCCATGGAATATATTATAATTAAATAGAACTTCTAGATAACTGACAAGCTGAAGTCATGCTGCTTGATAAAAGGAATATCATTCATTAGCCTTTTTGTTGGAGTGAGGCAGATCTGATTAGCAAACTAGGATCCAACATTTGCTAAACTATAATAGATATGTTTAGTTCCCACTAGTGCATGTAAAGCTGATTCGGTGTGTTTATGCACAATGTTTATACTTCTATATATTTTTTCTGCATGCAGTTGAACTCCAAAGTAACACAAGCATGTCCAGCTGCTGTCATTTCCTGCTGCTCACCAGAATGAGAATGAGAAAGCGAGTGAAAATGGGAGCCACTCTGGAGCCAGGAGCTTTCTTGCTTTAGGACCAGCAATGATTGCAGTTTAAGGTGTGTTTACACCATGGCAAAAAGCACAAGAACATCTCTATTATGAATGTGTGTTTGACACATTTGACAGTTTCATTGTCGGTCCAATACTGCTTCCTGTGTGCTGCGTGCTAGACTGAACAATCTCACTGGCTTTTTCTCTCACTTTCTGCTTTCCTTAAATAAGGGAATGGTTATAAAGGAATGAAATATGGAGATAGAGTTGGGAGAGAGAGGGAGGGAGATGCTATTGTGCTGCATCCTGTTTTGGTAATTCAATCCATCTGACCATCCCGGGGCTCTCTGAAGGGGGATGAAGGACAAATATAGAACTGACTAAACACTGATCTGAGTTCAGCTTGGGTCTTTCTTTTTTAAACATCTCCTGGTCCTAAAGCAGAGTTTCTTAACCTTTTAAATTTTTTTTGTAGCCTGACAGCCTCATCAGTAATGCTCACATACCTTTTTATTGACCTCAACCAGAATTGTTTCTTTTTAAATATTAAAAGGGTCATATGATGCTATTTCAAATTTTCCTTTCTCTTTGGAGTGTTACAAGCTGTTCGTGCATAGATAAGATCCCTAAAGTTGCAAAGACTAAAGTCTCAAACCCAAAGAGATATTCTTTATAAAAGTTAAGACTTGTCCACGCCCTCCTAGCCTCGATTAAACATGCCCCCACATGTCTACGTCACTGTGTGGGAATATTTGCATAACAATGGAAACTAATCCCATATTTTCTAATATTATTACAAAGGGGCAACATGTATATTGAAAATAGCAGAGGGCCTAGGACAGATCCTTGTGGCACACCATACTTTACCGGATTGAATTGAGATGATTCCCCGTTTAAATTAAAGTGATAGCGATCGAAAAGGTACGCTCTAAACCATCTTAAAGCCTGACCTTGAATACCTGTATAGTTTTGTAATCGATCTATGAGTATGTCATGATCTATAGTGTCGAACGCAGAACTAAGGTCAAGTAAAACTAGCAATGAGATGCAGCCTTGGTCTGACGCAAGAAGCAAGTAATTTGTAATTTTAACAAGTGCAGTTTCTGTGCTATGATGAGGCCTGAAACCAGACTGAAATTCTTCATAGATATAATTTTTTGCAGGAAGGAGCACAATTGAGCAGAGACAACTTTTTCTAAAATTTTAGAAATAAACGGATGATTTGAAATGGGTCTGTAATTTGACAGTTCACTAGGATCTAGTTGTGGTTTCTTAATAAGAGGCTTAATAACTGCCAGCTTGAATGGTTTTGGGACATGACCTAAAGATAACGACGAGTTAATAATATTGAGAAGCGGTTCTTCTGCTACAGGTAACAACTCTTTCAGTAATTTAGTGGGTACAGGATCTAATAAACATGTTGTTGGTTTAGATGCAGTGACAAGGTTATTTAGATCTTCCTGTCCTATAGTTGTAAAGTACAGCAGTTTTTCTTTGGGTGCACTGAATTGTTTTCACATAGATTACCTTTGCTGTCATCTGACAAGTTAAGTTAATCTTTAAAAATGAATAATTTAACAAAATAATTTCAACTTCAGCAAATCTCAAAATGAATATCCATTTTTCACACTGAACATTTATAATGCTATACCCAAATTTACTTGTATCCTCTTACATTATCAGTTTTTTGTTGTAAACATATGTTTTGAATTTATTTAGACAAAAGAATATAGAATTTTATTATCAGCCATTTATTGGTTACTGGCCATAACATTAATAATAATTGTTTATCAACCATAATAATAATTGTGCATTCCTGCTTGAAAAGGAATAAAAAAATCATAATATTAATCATAATTTGTTTTTTTTAAATTTAACAATGCAAAATCACATACTTTCCAAGTACTCCCTTGAATCTGCTGAAGTATGTACATCTGTTTGGGAATCACTACCATAAAGAATTATACACCTTTTAATTCATTTATCTAGGCACTACAATGTAAATGTATTACAACAAAAAAAGAGAGATTATCTGAGGATGTCTATAGAATTACCCATAATTGACATTGAGATCTGCAACATGCATATGACTATTATTTGGACATTCCATTAAAAAACTGTTAATGACTGGCTTTAAATGTAAATGTCAGAGTCGTGCTGGAACACTGCTGGCTGAAAGCTCAAAAAATAATCTCTCATAAGTAACACACAAACACACCATCAGCTTACAGAAACCAAGGAGACACAAACACAAACACCAAGCAGCTCCACAGACACACAAACACTCAGCTGAAGAAGGTTAGATTGAACTCAAAATGTTTGGAGAGCAGATAGAGCTTGTCCTGACCCATAGGGGCACATCTTGTTGGGCAGCTGGAAACTGCTCTGACCTGCCTCTCATAAGGGTCACAACAAATGACAGTGAAGGAATATCAGCTCACAAAAGCATTTAAACCTTTGTAACCTCACTGCTGTGGCCATATGGACCACCACTTTCAGCCCTGTACTTACTAAGACAAAGTAAGGTCTACCTTTCTGAAACAACTAAAAATATTTCCACACTACTCCTGGAGAACACTTTAACACCTTAAAGTAAGCATCAACAACATCTGTTAATAACATTAATTTCTACATGCATTATGCTAATACATTTGTAACATTTCAGGTTGTATAAATGAACATTTATGTATTATGAACAATTTTAAAATCAATATTAGCCTCTAATTGTTGTTGGGAATTTAATCAAATTATACAATATCGTAATTGGGTACTAGTAAAATATCTACTATGTTTTAATGAATCTTTAGTGACATATACAGGTCAAAAGTTTGTAATAATTACATTTCTTTTTAAATTGTGTTATATAAAGAGTCTTTTGCTCACCAAGGATGCAATTCTTTGATCAAAAATAGAGTAAAACAGTAATATTGTGAAATCATTTTAATATGCTAATTTGGTGCTCAAGAAACATTTCTGATTATTAACAATACTTTTAAGCTAAATTGATCAAAAGTGATAGTAAAGACATTTATAATGTTACAAATTTTTTTATTTCTCCTGAAAAAGAGTCCTGGAAAAATGTATCATGGTTTTTGTAGTAATATTAAGAAGCAAAAACTTTCCAAGATTTGAAATAATAAGAACCATTATTAGTAATTGTGCACCAATAACAAATAAGCAGCAGATCAGCATATTAGAATGATTTCTGAAGGATCGTGTGACACTGAAGACTGGAGGAAAAGCTGCTGAAAATTCACAGAAATTACATTTTAAAAATATTTGATTATAAAACAGATACATTTTATTGGAATAATATTGCACAATAGTGCTGATTTTGCTGTATTTTTGATTAAATAAATGCAGGCTTGGTGAACCTAAGATATTTCTCTCAAAAACATAAAAAAGTCTTAATGATTTTTAACCGTCAAAAATGTTTGGTTCACTTTTGAATAGTCACTAATGGAAAAATAGTTCTTTGCTCACATTTAGCTGCCAGCAGGAGATAACAGAGTCATACTAACTAGCCAAACCTTGACCTCTTATTTCTTGTAGGTAATATTCATCTATGGTTATTCAATACACGGTGGAAGCTAATGGATTTTGATGCCATTGATTTCCTCTGACTTGAAATTAGATGTGGGTTTACATTGTTGATTTTTTATAGCTGGGAACATTTGGAAATGTTTCTCTGACCAAAGGGTCAACCTTTACCCTACTGGAATAGAGAAGAGAGAATGCATTAAAACACATCAGGGCTGATCTTCCCTCTCTCTCTCTTCCTGCCGGCAGTAACTGCAGCTGAGAGGCATTAATACCCTCAGAACCCTGGAGCATGGCAGGGAATGCAGCTCAACACGGAGATGAAGGAGGTGGAGCTTTCTGTGAGGTAATGTGATTTGAGAAAATCTTGGCACTCTGAGTGACACACAGTCAGCCTTTGGGGATGAGTTTCACAGAGGCAGCAATGTGTTTTGTGCCCTGCTGAGTGGACTGTCACAGGATCGTATCAGCTCATGTTGAGGAGACCAAAAGACACCATGTATAAAAGGTACTTAAGAGAGTTTTCTGTTCTGCTTGTTTGGAGTTTGATATGTAGTTAGTTTATACTTTTTTAACTATGTGATTACATTTTAGATCAGTGCTTCTCCACTGGTTTTGTTTAAGGACTTTTTACACTGGACATGTGGCAAACCTGTATTTATTATGTAGTTGAGTTGCATTTTGCATTGCACCATTTGAGAGCAACTGATTTTCTAAGGAGAATAATTGTAATGTTTTCTACAGGCATGAGGTGTATGTTTAGCTGTGATTGGATGCATTCAAGTATTTCTGTCATATTTAGAGTTTTGTATTGCCTTCAGTTGCATGATATTAACACTGTTTCAACAGAAATAGCATAGATATCATTTTTTTTCTTATAAATGAATATAAAACAGCTTTTTTAGATTGGAGCGCCTGGTAGCACTTTACAATAAGCTTCAATTAATTATTTTTAGTTGCATAATGTATAAGCTAATGCATAAGGTATCATGAACTAACAAGGAATAATACTTTTACAACAGCTATTAGGCTATGTTAATCTGTACATATGCTAATAGAACATTTCTTGTTGTATAAACTAAAATTTCTAAAAATTAATATGAACTTATATTAATTAATTATGATCAAATTTATGTTGACAATGGAGCCTTATTGTAAAGTGTTACTCGCTATTTTTTAGCATTCCCTTTCATTTCAATGGCAGTTGCTTGGTTGCTGCAAGACCCACCAAACTACATTATTTGAAATTTGTCAACTTTGCTCATTGTGGCTCAGTTCTGCAGCCAGGTTTTTATGAGCCAATCACATCAGCTTCGGGAAACATTCCATAATTTTGGCACAACTTGCTCTATGACTTGGTAGCAGCTAGCCAAACTAGCCAAATATGAACAGGTTGTGGGCTATGCATTCATCCTTAAAATTAACTAAAATACCCCCCCTCCTCCACAATTATTATAATTTAATTTTTTCCCCCCATAACCTGTGTTGTCTGTTTTCAATTATAACCAACCAGTGATGGTGACTGTTGTTCAAATTTTGAGCCTGCGACATAAAATGCTTTCTGTTAGATCTTTTGAAATGTGCAGGCGATAAGATAAATTCAACCAGGAGTAAGTTCTTGAAGAAAAGACAATGAAACGATTTTGAACATGGAAGGTTTAATTTAGTTTTCTTCCTTTTTTCCCCCTTGTGTGTGTATGTTATGGTTAGCTGTTGTGTAATAGTTTGTTGGGCAATTATATGTGAGTGAATATGTTTGTGTGTATGCGTTGTAAGGTTTGGATATATTTAAGAAAAAATCTAATAATAAACTAACTAAAGTACAAGACCAGGGATTTCTTCTCAGAGGTGAAAATAAGATTAGTTCATTTGGAAATAGGCTATACCTTCGCTGACCCAAGTATAGAGTAAATTAATTAGTGAAACAGCTAAATCTCAGAGCATTTGAAGTGTGTCCAAGTACAAAAATAACCCGTAAGTACATTTATAATGGGATCTCATATGATAAATCTTTTTGTGTCTAGTGTTCCTGATCAGTTGGAAGCTTGAGCGGCAGTGATATGAGTCTCTTGCTCTGGTTCGGTGGAGGCAGATCGTTTCTGCTGCTTTTGATCCTGCTGTGCTGTGGGACCCTGTCGATCTGGACCAAGACCAGCAGACACCAAGGGTCCCGCAGACCCGTGCACAACCACACCGATGACATCATACTGGCTGTCATACTCCCTCAGCACAATACGTCCTACCCCTGGGCATGGCCTCGTGTGGGACCTGCGCTGGACCGCGCCATTGCTCGCATCAATGCCGACCCCACCCTACTGCCCCGGCACCACGTCCGGCACATCTTTGCCAACAGCGAGAATGGGGACGGTATCTGCTCAGAGTCCATCGCCCCCCTCATGGCCGTAGACCTGAAGTTCGAACACAACCCGTGGGCTTTCATAGGGCCCGGCTGTGACTATACCTCCTCCCCTGTTGGGCTGTTCACCGCTCATTGGGGCCTCCCCATGATCACGGCAGGGGCCCCCGCCGTAGCTTTCGTGCAGATGGGTGTATTTGGGGGAAATCTGTGGAAGCTGAATGACTTTAGAAGAAAAAGTCAAAACCTGTATGACTTCATCTTCTAAAGAATACAAAAGGAGATATTTTGAAGGATGTCTCAGTGTTTTTTGGTCCATATAATGAAAGTCAATAGGATCGAATGTTGTTGTGTTAATTGTGTTCTCTAGTCATATGGGTTTGAAATGACATGAGGGTTAGGAAAAGCCAGAATTTTAATTTTTGGGTGAACAGTTACTTTAAATGCTTACAGAAAAGTTGTGTGTGTGTGTGTGTGTGTGTGTGTGTGTGTGTTTATTTATTGTTTGTTTGTTTGTTTGTTTGTTTATTAAAATTCATGATGGTTTCAGTATATCAAATAGATGCTCAAAGCTTCTTCCTGTGACTTCCTTCCATGTTCCTGTGGCTCAGTGGTAGAGCATTGCGTTGGCAGAGCAAGAGGTCGTGGGTTCGATTCCCAGGGAATAAACATACGGGTAAAAAATGTATAGCCTGAAAGAGATCTCAGAAGAGCGGAAATGCCCTTTCCCACCTCCTGCCTCTTTCCCCTAAATCCTGTAAAAACATCTTCACATCATTAGCAGCAGGAAGACAACACATGGAGACACACCACCTACCATGAGAGTGGAATCTCAAATGTATTCCTGCTCTTGTGCTGGAGTTTTCCATGTGAGTGCTCTCTCGTTTGGAGATTCAGAATGCTTGTCTCTTGAAAGCACAGTTATATATTTATAAAACTGAGAACATAAAGTGCATTTAATTTGATCAAATCTATATTACCAGGACAGGGCAATTTTGAAAACACACAGGTTGTAAATGTCGATGAAAGTGGACTTGAACATTGTGCTGGGACGTTGAGGCATTTAGAGAGCTTTAGATCACGAAGCTGGACATGCAACTAACTAATTACATAATTACAACCATCTGAACATCCATTTGGTACTTGGAACATAAATTTTTTGTATTGTTATTTGCGCACATCATTACACAAACCCAGCTACAAATGCACACTCATTCATAACCTTTCAGACTTCTCGTTCTCTCTCTGCAGTGCTGAAGTGATGTGCACTTAGCTGCTGCTTTGCTCCTGGATAAAATCTCCAGCACAGCAAGGTTGTTAATGGCCAGAAGTCAGCAGGTGCTTCAACATCAATCTCTGTCTCTCATATACACGCCCGCACGAACGCACACACACACTTCAAAGCTGCTCTGTTGATGAGGACTGTGCTCCTCTGGTTTAATTTTTCCATGTACCCAATCACTTCAATCACACCTGATTCTGAACATGGTGGAAACCAGCATCAAAGAGGACCTCAGCTCCAGAGTGCCAACAAGATGATCTGGTTTTCAGGCCCCTGACCCAGATTTTGGAAGTCTTGAATTCTGATCAAGGACAAACAGTTCTGTGTCAGGACAAACAGAACTGCATGAGCTCTTCATAACGGGTTGAGCTCATATGGAATTGTTTGTAATAATTCCTCTCATGATGGAGTTAGATGGTAGCATCTCTAAATTGCCAATCTTTGTGACTAGAGCTTCTTGCCCTCTTTGTCGTCATGGTTGCAGAGCGTAAGAGCGGCCATGCTGAACTAAACTACCCACAAGGCCGTGCTCCGCTTCTCCCTGCTTTTCCATCCATCTGGATCAACTTAAAAATTAATCTGAACTGAGGGGTAGCGAAGGATGTGAAGAAAACTACACAAATTTGTACAATCATTACATGCCCTTTTATAAACCCAGTATATTTCAAATCGATATCTCCCATCGTTTCTGACCTTTGGATGCAATGCAGAGTAACTGAACACCAACAGACTTAAACCCAAACATTTCAAAAGCATCATTCACGGAGGTGAAAGCTTGTCTTTATATTGGCCTTGAATCTACCCCCTCGTGAACCGAATACTCAAGTCATAATGTCCTCTTCGTGACTGTGACAGCAGAACATATGGTTCGTTTTATTAAAACAATGACCTCACATCCTCTAGAATGAGGTAATGTTAGGCAGACCTCCCTTACATCACACAGATTCCTGCGCTAATAGAATTTGTAACCTTACACTGTCTTGTGTTAAACAGCATTAGAAGAGAAACGTGACAGACTTGACTCCACAGACAGAAATGAGTTTATTTTTGCAGTCAATGCTAGAACCTGTTTTTAGTGGCTTACAGTCAAACATTAGATTTATGTTAAGCAATCCCTTCTGAATGTGCTAAGTTTTTTTTAAAGGCTTTTTTTTTTGTTAGATTGAGCAAATTTTGTGTTGGTCTGTTGCTGATGAGCATAAATAAAAATCTCAAATTTTGTGCAAAACCACCATTTAAGGACCTGTAAAACTTGTCAAGCTATTTTCTTTCCTGTGTTGGTGTAGTTGCAGGTTGTACTGGGGGCAGGACTCTCATTCTAGAGAACATTTGATTGGACAAAAATCTGTGTAGTGCAAGATGAGCCAACCGTTTTTTTTAGTCTGTTTCAAGAGATAAATACTGCAGATTTTAAATGTTTATATTGTAAATAGGGGTGGGCGATATACCGGTAGACACGATTAACCGGTAGAAATTTGTCAACCGGTAGAGATTTTGGACTATCCTCTCTATCGCGGTTACACGCTCACGTGATGTTGCTGTACTACATGGTCGCGAATATCATTTGCATGCGTTTTTATGCATTGCGGTTTAAAACAAGTGATTTTAAGCCATTTAAATACAATCAGCAACGAAAGAGAACTAATTTTGCTATATGCCCGCGCTGACTGAGGGACTGGATGTTTCTGAATGCTGTCAGAGAGGTGTGCGCACATGAAGAGCTGCTCATAGCTTTATAGGCCTTGAATGGTTAAATACACACCCTTATATGTGTCCAAATACCCGTCTTTGTAAGTATCCTCATAAACACAGTAATTTAGGTCTTAAGTAAAAGTAAACAGCTGAGAAAGAAAACGTGTAACAGTATTGGATCTGGGCAGCTCTTAATGTGACAGCAGTCTAGTATTCCTGCTGTCTGTCATTCAGGTTTTTCAGACAACAAAAGAGAGAAAATCTCTCTGCTCTTGACTAAATCACTTTTGTAACTAAGAAGAAATAGGCCTATATATGGCCTATATATTTAATTTATACAGTGAAGAATATGCAGTGTTTTTATAGCTACATTTGATTACTTTATACAATGTATGTATTTCTTATTTGTTTTACTGTAGTCCTATTGCTTGTAATTAGTTTCTTATTCTTATTTAATCGCTGACTGTTTACTTGTCTTCAGTGAGCTCGAGTTTTTTATTTTGTTTTATTTGGGCTATTAATTTTTTTTGTTATCGACACTGGTGACAAGAATTATGATCAAAAATGTTTATATCATAAAGACCTTGGTTAAATAAAAAATAACTATACCGTGATATATCGTTACAGTGAAATAAAATGACTCGTATTGTGATTTTGGTCATATCGCCCACCCCTAATTCTAAAAGTGAATTTTGTCAATATTTAGGATTACAAGTGTCTGGGTCATAAGATGTACTCCTGGTGTGCCATTTCATATGAATAAATAATACATTAACATTCATATATATCCATAAATGCTGATGCAGTCCCTTTAAACCCTATCAGGCCCTTCCATCTCATTTGTATTTTTGTGCAAAGCCAAGCAGAAAGCTCTTGTGAGAGTTGTGGTTTATGCTTTCTTTCACTTTCTCTCCACCCCGTTTGATGCTGTAGAATTGACATCATTGTGATAATCAACATTTTCTTCTCTCTTACAGTAAGATTCCATTCAGCTGCTTGTAGAGTGAATCTGAACACATCACTCCATTTCTTTCATCTTCTGTCAGATCACTCAGGCCTATGGATTATCTTATCAACAAATAGCTAAATAATTGAATTAATCATGTCCCTGTCTGCTCCCCCTTCATGGTCAACAGATATGTGAGAAAATAGGCTTCAAGGATTCCATCCAGATCAATAGAACTGCTACTATTTCCTGTTGTAATTGCTTTGGTCGTTTTTTGGAGCCTTAGAGTGCTGTGCAATTGTAGTGTCAATATTCTTAAAAAAAAAATGTACTGAAGCACTTTAATTATGGGTTAAAGGGAAGGATAGAACAGCTTCAACTTAACAGTTCAATTTCTGCATTGCCATTTACATGGTATAGATCAGAGTCAGTTTGGGAGTGAAACTCTAACAGTCTGCAATGATTGATCAAACATTTACATACTGTATATTCACTGACAAAATAGAGAAGAAATAGAGAAGGCAGAATAAAACAAACAGCAAGAGTAGAGCATACGCTGATGTGCATGTGAACATAAAGTTATGTCTTAATGGTGTTATTTTCAGAGAACACAACCAATCTGGGTTTCCCTACATGCAGCAAACAAAAAAATCACTTTTTCCCTGATTCCAGCTGTCAGTGTAATTGTAGCACGTTTGTATTAGAGAACAATATCACATTTTCAGAGCTGAGCCCATCATTATCGTTTGAGCGCAGTGTGCGGCCATTTTTCTTGACTGCAATTACAATGTACCTCCTCATTTGATTCCATGCAAGCAGGGCTGTGATTAACTCTTGTTGGGAGGGCAGACTCCCTCTTATTCATGGTGTAGTTAGTGTGGTGATATAATGGAGTGCAGAGTTTTGAAATGATAGACAATTCTTTTGTATATATATATATATATATATATATATATATATATGTACAACCTTTTTTTCATAAGAATAGGAGCCAATGTTTATAAAGTTTAATTAAAAAATGTAATATTCATTTGGCTAGTCAACAAGTATAGCATGTTTTTTTTGTTGTAAGATCAAGATTAAAGTTAAAATGTAAGTAATTGGTATAGGAGCATTTAAAAATTCAAAATATTTGGACACATTTGTTTTATGACCAAATCAACAGTAAACTAGCCTTTTTTGGTACATAATCAGCAGGTAGCAAACACACATTTTTACTAATTATATGCAAGTATGATCAAAAATGTCTAAAAGGAGCCCAGTTGAATTAAAGTTTGTTTTTGTTTTTTATTTTATTTTAAGTTTCTCCATTTTTAATCACATTGTTTTTTTCCAGTTCACATAATGG